ACGCAACTACTTGTCGGCGCTGGCTCAAGGGCGAACAAGGAGCAGATGGCCGAGGGCGGCATCAACAACATACCCAGCGCCTACACGGACCAGACGGTGGAGCTAGTCGATTCGCAGACGGCTTTCGGCGCAGTCATCGCCGCCGCAGCAAACGTGGCCCAGAGATTTAGAGGAGGGCCAACAGGGCGATGGTAAGCAGGGGACCCCTACGCAAAAACAACTCAGCGGGAAAACATCACGACCTACAAGAAGGTGCTCTGTAACCTGCTAGACCATCAGAGGTCGCGTAGGGTGCGCAACGAGGTTCCCGTTAGGCCCGTGGGCCTAGGTACCATGTTACAGGGACCAGCCCAGGAATTCCAGTCGCTCAGGAAGGCGTCGGGGGAGCGTTTTTGGAGCAAGTCTTGGGTGGAATCGTTCTTCCAACAACACTGTCCAATTGCATTCCTGAGCGACCTGAGGGTCTCTCTCTGGCGATGGGAGAATCGCGATTTGGCTGTGGACTTCCTCGGCACAAGTTCCCCCGTCCCAGTTCAAGCCGCCCGACAAGTGCGATTTCGTCTGCAAATTTCCCATGGGAGACAAATCCAATTCGTTTTCGAGCTGTCGGAGAAAGGCGCCAGTCCGCAGTGTGTGATCCAAGGATTTGTGCAACGAATCATTGGTGTTACCCACTCTGGCATATAATCACCGCGTTTGGAACAACCTCACCGAGGCTGACAATAGGGCCATTGCCATCGAGTGCATGGCGTGCTATAGACAAGCTGCTAGCCACCAGTCGACCATCAACAGCGAGGGCAGGGTGTCCAACGTGACCGTGAGACTATCAGCGAGGCCAACAAGATGCCACAAGACGTTGCCCGGGGAATTCGGAGGCTTCGGTACCTACCGCGACTGCTATTACACGGCCTCGCCGTTGTTTGCAGGCTCCTGGACGAGGGCCTTTGCCACGACGCCAGCTGGACGGCCGACAGGGTGGAACACGTGAAATGGATGCACGACTACCTCCACAGGGACGAGCGACGAACGGAAACAACCCACCCTCGAGAAGTGGTGCTAGCGGTGCGAGACGGGCAGATTCGAATCATTGGTCGAATTCATTGTGGCGAGATTACTACGATGACAAAGAGACAGAGCAAACCAGGAACGATGGTACCACGGGAAGGAGCCTACCAGTTCACCGCCGGGATGCAACCAGTGTCATGTATGTCACCTCCGCCACTGGAACCCAATCTGATGTGCTATCAGTGCGAAGCTACCTTTACCAAGGCGGCGGCGGCTGCGGCGGCGGTTGCGGCGGGGGAGAAGGAGGCGGAGGAGGATGAGGAGTAGCAATGGCAGCAAGATGGTGACGGATATATGACGTATGATGATCACGATGCTGCTGCTGCTGACGATCATGATGCTGCTGCTGCTGCAACTGATGATGGGGATGCTGCTGACAACAATGAAGAGCATGATGATGAACGTGATGATGATGCTGGTGATGGTGATGGTGATGGTGATGGTGATGATGATGATGATGATGATGATGATAATGATGATGATGATAATGATGATGATGATACTGATGATGGTAATGTTGATGCTGATGCTCACACTGATGATGCTGATGCTGATGCTGATGCTGATGATGATGCAAATGATGATGATGGTGGTGCTGGTGGTGGTGATGAGTTTGAGGATGATATTGATGCGGATGTTGCTGCTGATGATGATGATGCTGCTGATGATGATGATGAGGAGGAGGAGGAGGAGGAGGAGGAGGAGGAGGAGGACGAGGAGGAAGATGAGGACGAGGATGATGATGGTGATGATGCCGATGATGCTACTTATACTGATGCTTCACATAATGCTGATGCTGCAGATAATGCTGATGCTGCAGATACTGCTGCAGATGAGGCGGAGGAGGAGGAGGACGAGGAGGAGGAGGAGGAGGAGGAGGCGGAGGAGGACGAGGAGGAGGAGGAGGAGAGGAGGAGGAGAAGGATGGAGGAGGAGGAGGCGGAGGAGGAGGAGGAGGAGGAAGTGAAGGAGGAAGACGAGGAGGAGGAAGAGGAGGAGGAGGAGAAGGAGGAGGAAGAAGAGGAGGAGAAGGAGGAGGAGGAGGACGAGGAGGAGGAGGAGAAGGAGGAGGAGTAGCAGCGAGGAGGAGGAGGAGAAGGAGGCGGAGGAGGAGGAGGAGGATGAGGAGGAGGAGGAGGAGGATGATGATGAGAAGGAGGAGGAGGATGAGGAGGAGGAGGAGGAGCAGGAGGATAATAATAATACGTAAGAATAATGCGACGAATAATATGACGAATGATCATAATAATAATAATGATAACAACAATACTAAGAAGACTCTACATAATAATAGTCATACTTATATTCACAAGAATATGAATGATACGAATAATAATAATGCGAAACATAAGAATATTTACACTAATCATAATAATACTATTACTACTACTACTACTAATAATAGTAATACTACTACGAATAACAATCATAATAGCAATAGTAATAATATTACTAGTACTAATACTAATACTAATACTACTAATACTAATACTAATACTGATACTACTACTACTACTACCACTACTACTACTACTACTAATACTAATACTAATACTAATACTAATACTAATACTAATACTAATACTAATACTAATCCTAATGCTAATGCTAATACTAATACTACTACTACTACTACTACTACTAATATTAATGCTAATAATCATAATAATATCAGTACTCATAATACCAATACTACGAACACTATTAATAACAACAACAACAATAATAATACTAATAATAATATTAATAATACGAACACTAATAATACTACTACTAATAATAATAATCATAATAATAATAGTAGTAGTAATAATAATACTAATAATAATAATAGTAATACTATTAATAATAATAATAATACTAATAATAATAATGATAAAACTAATAATAAGAGTACCAATTAAAATACTGATATCAGTAATAATATTATTACTAATAATAGCAATAGTAATGTTATTAATAATATTAATAATACTAATACTACTAATAATAACACTACTAATACTAATCATAATATTGAGAACCATACTAGTAATAATGAACATGCTAAGAAGACACATGAGGAGGAGGAGGGAGGAGGAGGAGGAAGGGGATGAGGAGGAGGAGGAGGAGGAGGAGGAGGAAAAGGAGGAGGAGGAGGAGGAGGAGGCGGAGGAAGGGGAGGAGAAAAACATACGGAGGAGGATGAATGTGGTCGAGGAGGTGAAGGAGGAGGAGGAGGAGGAGGAGGACGAGGAGGAGGAGGAAGGGGAGGAGGAGGAGGAGGAGGAGGAGGAGGAGGAGGAGGAGGAGGTGGATGAGGATGAGGGTGATGAGGAGGAAGAGGAGGGGAAGGAGGGGGAAGAGTCGGAGGAGTGAGAACGGAGACGAGTATCACAACAGGGAGGAAGAAGGGGGGAGGGACCATCTCAGGCTGTGAGGAAATGCTATGGTTAGGCCGATCCTATCCTAATCGAACCTTTTAATTACATCGGCACCCCTCTGAAGCTTCCTTTTCAACTTCCACTCGGGCTCCTTCCTTGAGGAGCTTGACAGCTGGGATCGGCTTGGAGAAACGGACGACGGGCTTCATACTGCTCTTGTGATGTTGGTCACTCGAAGGGATCGCCCACGCACCTCGAGAGAATTTGTTCCAGACTCATATTGTACAGTCACCTCGGAGGCCTCTCATCGTGCTTTCTATGCGCTCACCGAAGGAGTTGCACGCAAAGGTGGAAGGCTTGGCCTCAAGATAAGCCGTACGCAGACACGTCATGCCTCTGGGACGCTCTAGAGACGACGGGCAAGGTAAGATAATAGTCTGGGCATGTTTCGCGTTCCCTCGATCAACAAGGGAACACCCGTCGCCGCAACAAGAAGGACCGGGCTCTGGCCCCGCAGGCAGTGCGACATCTCGCTTGTCTTGGGGGGGGGGCGAGGGGGTTCGCCCAATGAGAGCTCGTTTCTTGAGCCAGAAATGGTGGAGGAGGAGAAGGAGGAGGAGGAGGAGGAGGAGGAGGAGGAGGAGGAGGAGGAGGAGGGAGGAGGAGAAGCAGGAGGAGGAGGAGGAGGAGGAGGAGGAGGAGGAGGAGGCGGAGGAGGCGGAGGGGGTGGAGGAGGAGGAGGAGGAGGAGGAGGATGAGGAGGAGGAGGAGGAGGAGGAGGAGGAGGAGAAGAAGAAGAAGAAGAAGGATATGCAGGATGATGGGCAGCACAAGCAGGAAGCCTCATGTCGCTCGGTGCTCTCCCAGCGAGCGCGAGTGCGCCGAAACCTCGGAGATCGCGGCTCGTCCTTTGGTGTCGTTGTCTGCCTGTCAGTGGTGGCATCAGCCTCAAGGTGAGGGGCCGGCGGCCCGACCAGGGGCTGCGTCAGCGGCGGGTCCAGGGATGCGTGATGCTGAGTATCTCTGTGAGGGCCCCAGCCATGGCCACGAGAGCACTACACGAGACCCAACAAGGACGGAGAACGCCCCCAGAAACCAACCCTCCAATCCTCACTCCCTCCGGGCTCCTCCCTGGATGGGGAGAGGGACCATCAGGCAAGAATCCGGGACGCAACAATGCCCCAGGCGAAGGGGCCCATGAGCTCGCGGATTCAGACTAGTCATATCGGCAGATCTGCGGGCTCCTCCTGCTCCTCCTCCTGCTCCTGCTCCTGCTCCTGCTCCTGCTCCTCCTTCTCCTCCTCCTCTTCCGCCCGCCCCCTCCTCCTCCTCCTCCTCCTCCTCCTCCTCCTCCTCCTCCTCCTTCTTGTCTTCTTTGGGCGAACAATCCGACACTTTGAGACTCGGGTGGGCAACCCGACAGTTGGCCTTCCTTCTCGGGTGAGCAGTCTGACACCCTGAGACTTCTGCTTCCTCCTCCTGCTCCCGCTCCCCCTGCTCCCCCTCCCTTCGCCTCCCCGCGCTGCTCCCCCCCGCTCCCCATCCTCTCCCTGCTCCGCCCCCCCTGCTCCCCCTTCCCTCTCCCCCCCCGTCCCGCTCCTGCTTCTGCTCCCCTTGCCCCTGCTCCCGCTGCGCTGCCTCTCTCTCGCTCTCTTTCTCTCTCTCTCTCTCATGTCCCTTTGCTCTTGGATCCGCCAGCGCCCCCAGCGGGGGCGCCGGAGTGCCCTCCTCCGCTGCGACAGGGGGCCCTCCCGCCGCGGCGATGTCTCGGCGTCGCCCGCGGGGCTTCCCGCCCTTCTTCGGCCCGCTGGTCGGCGTCTGCAGGCTCTCCGCGTCGGGGATTCATACATACTCCAGATTTCGTAATACAGGGAGGGGGGTCTCATTTCGGGGGGGGTCTATTCCAGACTATCTTGGAGGGCCTGGGGGGGTCTGGGGACGAGGTTTTGGAGGGTTCTCCCACGAGGGGGGGTCTGAAATGGCCTGTCTTGGAGGGTCCAGACCCCCTCCCTTTTATTACGAACTCTGGAGTATCCACCCCACCGCTGGGGGGATTGATTTGGAAGACCTCGGCAGGCAGCGGATGTGGATATACTCCGGCCCCCAGGGGGCCGAGTATATCGCTACGTGCACCGCCCAGTGGGACACTGGAAGATCGGCTTGGCAGGCGGTGGTGATGTATAAATCCATGCCTCGCAGGTTCTGCACCAACGCCGAGGGCAACCTCTCGCGCGCCGACCACCGGTGGATCCTGTCGCGCGTCGTGTACTCTGTCGTGGACCAGATTTTGGACTACCTGGTGGTTTTGGCGATGCTTGCTGAGGAGGAGTATGCTCTTGTGGCCATGCAGCTGGCAGTCCTGGTTCTCGCTGGCTGGAAGACCTCCTACTTCATGAAGTCGGCGTTCGGAAACATACAGCGTGGCAAGGCGGCGGCCGCGGTGGCGCAGGCGAAGGGCGACGGGCAGGCCGACGACGACGCGACCTGTGGGCAGGCAGACGGGCCCGACGACGAGGGGGAGGCGCGTGCACCCGCACAGGCAGGCCACCGCCGTGATGAGCGCGGCGAGGACGAGGACGAACGCTTCCGACGGGATCGGCGAGGGGTGCTTTGTGCATGTGCGGAAGAGGCGGAGGAGAAAGGGGATGACGAAAGCGACACAAGTTCCATCGTGGAGCTTAACCACGCGCCCTCGGCGCCGACCACGGCCACGGCGCAGGGCGCTCCGGATGGCGCCACGGCGCGCGCGGGGTCGGTGCAGGCTGGGTCGGCGGAAGCTGGGTCAGCGCAGGCCGGTTCGGCAGAAGCCATAGCGGCGCAGCCCGCGGCGGCATGTTCTGAGGCCGACCGCCATGGCGAGGTAAGCCACCGTGCACCCCCGGCGGAGGAGGGCGGCGGCGAGGTCCTGCGCGTGGCCGCGCCCTTGTTTTCGCAGACGGCGGTCCCGTCGGACGCGAGCGCGAGCTCGGCTGCGGCCGCGGCCGCTGGCGCGCCTGCGGGCATCGTCGAGCAGAAGACGTTGCGGGACTCGAAGCGCGCGTCGAGTGCCGCGGCGGCTGAGAAGTCATACCTGGCGTTCGCCAGCGTGGCAGGCGCAACCACGGTGAAGGAGCTCCACCGCAAGGCGTCGCGCAATTGCTCTAAGAGCAGCCACCAGGGCCACTCAACCTCGCCGTCGCTGTCGCCGGAGAAGGCGACGGACGGCGCGTGCTCGGGCATGACCTCCAGCACTGGCAGCGGCACCGCCACGCCGCGCCGCTATGGCGCGCCACGCACGGAGCTAGACGGACCGCTGCAGGCGGCGCAGGCGGCGAGCCAGCGGGCGCGCCGCAGCAGCCTGCCGGTGGCCAGCAACCAGCTGCTCGAGCAGCAGGACGCCGTGCGGCAGGAGCAGCAGCAGAGCGCAGTGCTGCAGCAGCAGCACAACCTCCTGCTGCAGCAGCAGAACGCCATGCTGCAGCAGCAGAACGCCATGCTGCAGCAGCAGCTGCAGCTCATGCAGCACGCGGCGGGGCTGTCGCCGGGCACGTCGGCGGGCGCCTCTGCGGGCACGCTGCTGGGCGTGTTGCCGCTGGGCCCGTCGCCAGGCTCGTCTGCGGGGGTCTCAGCTTTTGCTACCGCGCCAGGCGCCGCGGCTGTCGTGCCTCCGCTGGGGCTCCAGCAGCTGCAGCAGCAGACCGCAGACTGCCGGCTGCTCAAGGACGCCACTGTACGCCTCGCGCTGCAGGAACAGGTGCGCAAGACCGCCGCCAGCGCTCCCCTCAGCCAGCCTCTGAACACCGTGAATCTGTGGGGCGAGCACACGTTCCTGAGCATCCCGGCGGCGCTCCGAGGGGGACGTGTGGAAGTGAGATGGGGCTTCTAAGAAGGCGGGATGGTTCTTAGAAGCCCTCGGAGGCTCCTCAGAAGCCCTCGGAAGGGCTCCAGGAAGCCTCTCCCACTTTCCCTGCCCCCCTTGGCGCGCCGCCGAACATCTTGCTGAGTCCGCGCGAGCTCTTGTACGGCATTCTGGAGGTCGAGAAAATGCGCGCGATCTGGAAAATCGTCATGTCGCATTCCTCTTCGCAGTCTGGGGCATCTTCCTCTGGACACGAGGTGCAGTACTCGGATAAGTCCTCTGAGGCTTGGGCCACCTTCGCGGCGGGCGAGCTCGCCCGCGGTCTCTTTGTGACCATGCCGCAGACCTACATCCAGACCTACCTGGCGCTGGTGCTCTTCTTCGGCCACCGCCAACACAGCGACGAGAACTTCCTCGGCAGGTGGGCGGTGTCGGAGCGCGTGGTGGTTATGCTGTCGATCGTGAGCTCCGTGCTGACGGCCGCGTTCGCCTCCTACACGTACGAGGTGTGCCAGCTGACGAAGAACGGGCTCGAGGCTCAGGGTAGGCACCCCAGAGCATATGTACTTTGGAGAGGGGTCCTCGCGGTCCACATCAGACACCAGCTGAATTCGGACCCAGCTGAACTAGGACCCAGCTGAACTCGGACCCAGCTGAACTCGGACCCAGGGTGAACTCGGACCCAGAACTCGGAAACGGGAAACTCGTTCCCAGCCGAATTCGGACCCAGCTGAACTCGGACCCAGCTGGTCTTGGACCCAGCTGAACTCGGACCCAAATGAACTCAGACCGAGGCCTTCGCTGCAGCGGGAACGCCTGGGTCCGAGTTCAGCCGTGTCCGACTTCAGCCGGGTCCGAGATCAGCCGGGTCCGAGTTCAGCGGGGTTCGAGTTCCGCGGGTCCGAGATCAGCCAGGTCCGAGTTCAGCTGGGTCCGAGTTTCCGGGTTCGAGTTCAGCCAGGTCCGAGTTCAGCCGTTGGCTGAACTCGGACCCGCCCGCGCGGGAGGTCTCGCATGCGAGCGCCCGCGCGACTTCCCCGTCACCGCTGGCGGTGTTGGAGGATACGTATGGTAGGTTGCACTTGGAGCCTTGAGTTGGAGGTGGTGACGCCTTTGCCTTGAGGTGGAGGTACGGGTCCCCGCCCCCCCCTTGGGCCGTCTTCGTTGGCCGAGGGGCCGCCGGGGACTCGTTTGCCCCCTCCAGCGCCAATT